AAGAAAAAAACAAAAGAAAGAAAGAAAGAAAGAAAGAAAGAAAGAAAGAAAGAAAGAAAGAAAGAAAGAAAGAAAGAAAGAAAGAAAGAAAGAAAAAGAAGGGGAAGGAACGAGGTGAGAAAAGAAAAGAAAGAGAAAGAAAAAAAAACACTACGTCAGGTTTTATCCTGACAGAAGGTATTCTTACATTAAAAGACTGCAAAACAAGAGTGTAAGAAACCTGTCACTGGACACAGATACCCCTCTACTCAATACAGACCTTCACCAAGCTTTGGGACAAGTGGTCTGAACCATTATTTCGTTTCTGGTAAAACCAGTTGCCCAGAGCAGAGTCCAAGGGCAAGAAGGTTGATTGTAAGAACTCAGACAAATCATAATTGGAAAAGTACCTCCTTTTTCTCCATGCAAAAGCCTATCAATTGATAATTGCCTTAACCCCCCAGAATGGTCAGACTAAGATTAGCAACTCTTTCACCCAAACGCAGCTGCCATGGTGGGGGTGGGGAACTCACCACCACCACCAACATGACGATAATCATGGTTTTTTTGCTACTAAGGTTTCTTCAATGTGCTTCCTTCTAACCTCTAAATTGACCCGATACAGACTGGCAAATGGATCCGCGAACAGGCAGCCTAATAGAGCACCTGAAAACTTTTGTGTTGTTGTTTGATTTTATAAGTTCTTTTTTTCTTCGAGATGCAATAGTTCAGGCACAAATCAGGCTGCATTCTTGCAAAGGAAAATACTCACAGTTGGCCGTAAAGAAATGACATTCTTTAGCAGAAAAAGGAGGGAGGGAGGAAGGAAGAAGGAGAAGGAGAGAGGAGGCGGGATGAGAGAGGGGAAGAGAGAGAAGAGATAAGAAATTTCAGGTTAAAAGCAGATAAACCTTTACAATAGAACACCAGCAAATAAAACCACAATTTCAGTGTGGGAAAGGGAGGAGGGGGGAAGATGGCAAACAGTCCTCTCTGCCAATAATTACTAAGTACTTATCCTTTAAAAAAAAAAAAAAAGAGAGAGAGAGAGAAAGAAAAAGAAATAGATCTCAACCAGATGCCAGGCTTTCCTACCTAATAGACAGTTTAAATTTAGCAACATAAGCTTCTATTGCTCTGTGCTCTCATAAGAAATTACTTATTTCACAGGAAAGAGATGCTCTTTAGCTTTATAAAGGAATGGTAGAATAAGCTCACCTTGTTTTTATTTTTTCTCACTTTCTTCCATTTTCTTCAGATCTGTCTTCTTAGAGAAACTAATGCCTTAATGACTTTCTGGTAGCTGCAAGCCTTCTTTTATTTCTGCTAAATATATGAAAATGTATGCAAATTTAAATCAAGCTTAACCTAAGAGCTCTTGCAATATATTTAATAGAATTTCAAACCAATAAGTGAACTCTAATGCCGGTCTTCTGCAAGTAAGAATAGAATTACGCAGCTAGGTTACCTCCAAAATTATACAACGAAAGGTCATTTTTTAACTTCAGAGATTGCGCTGGGTATCCGGTGCTGCCTTTTCCCAGCTAGAGCAAATCTTTGTATTTCACTCCACTCTGCTTACAAGTAAAACCTTTGCATGGGGCTGTGGAGCACACGGACTTGCCTTTCCGGAACTTATAAAAGCTTAGGAGGAATACAAGTCTTTAAGTCGTTCCTCGTTTCCTCTAACCAAAACGTAAAAGCAGTGATGTCTTCTCAAGCTGAAAACAAATTCAAGCTTGATGAGAATGGGAGTGGGGGGAGGCGCAGTAGCGGTACTAATGCCAAACAGTTTGCACTCTCTCCACTCCCCTCCTCTCCCCTCCCCACCCCCCTTCCCCTCCCTTCCCCTTCTCTCTTCTCTCTCCTCTCCGAGGACACTAAATGATTCCCCTTTACTTCCACTTGTCTGTGATGGGGGGTGGGGGTGGGATACATGTTAAAAACAGTTTTCCCAAAGTTATCCTTTGTATCTACTGAGAGTGGGTCCGCTGAGAGTCTGGGGAGTGAGGGAGGGCTGCCCACTTTAGCAAGCATTGCATCTCTGACAGAAGTTGTGAGACCGCTGATGGGAGCTGATATGAAGCCATAATAAAAAACAAGTCTTCCAACTGACCAACTGGATTGGAAGGATAACTTCAAAATAACTGAATTTTGCCTGTATCACATTAGATTTTACTTTCCCAGAATCTTCCACTTCTACATTTCCTAAATCAAAAATTTTAGAAGAAACTGGGCATCTCTTGCTGACGCTTTCTTATAAATGATAAAACGAAATAAATAGGTCGAAATAGCTCTTATTGGAACCATAAACTTCGGTCTTATAGGTTTAGGGTCCTATCTAAGACGTTCCTTTGCTCAAAGTTTGTAGCGAGGTTTTGTTTTGCAGTCCCCGCACACAACTTACCCAGAACGACAAATGAATATGAGAAAAATCCATATTCACTAAGATTTAGATGACATTTAAATTATTTTCTTAATATATTTTTCTTTCTCTATTTGGGTTAATCTAAATAATCTAAAAGGAGTTATAAAACCACTTTGTCGCCTCATCCCCTGTTCGCCTCCAAACACACACATAAACATACATCCCTCCCATCCTTCCCCCTCCACTACGAACACCCGCGAAGTAATAGTTGGTGGTGGGGGGATTAACCAAATAAACTGCCGCCGCCACTCAGCTCCAGGCAGCCAATGAAGCCGAAAGATTTGATTCACTTCCTGCTTGGGTCTCACAGAAACTCTCGAGCTTCGCCAGCCTAATTTGGAAAGCTAGCCCAGCCTCTCGCATCGCCATTGGCCGAACCTGCAGCTGGCCAGGCCGAGAGGCGCTGCGATTGGCCGCGGCAGGTGCCGGTAACTCGCTCTCTCCGCTTTGGCTCCCCGGCACCATAGATGTCAAAGGCTGAAGCTGCTCCCTTTGCCACATTAGAACTAGCAGGGGATCCTCACCGACCATGGCCACAGCTGCCTCGAATCCCTACAGCATTCTCAGTTCCAGCTCCCTGGTCCATGCAGACTCTGCGGGCATGCAGCAGGGGAGTCCTTTCCGAAACCCTCAGAAACTTCTCCAAAGTGATTACTTGCAGGGAATTCCGAGCAATGGGCATCCACTAGGGCATCACTGGGTGACCAGTCTGAGCGACGGAGGCCCATGGTCCTCCACACTGGCCACCAGCCCCCTGGACCAGCAGGACGTGAAGCCTGGGCGCGAAGATCTACAGCTGGGAGCGATCATCCATCACCGCTCGCCTCATGTCGCCCACCACTCTCCGCACACTAACCACCCGAATGCCTGGGGGACAAGCCCTACTCCAAACCCGTCCATTACGTCGAGCGGCCAACCCCTTAACGTGTACTCACAGCCGGGCTTCACTGTAAGCGGCATGCTGGATCACGGGGGGCTCACCCCACCGCCGGCCTCTGCCTCCGCACAGAGCCTACATCCCGTGCTTCGGGAGCCCCCAGACCACAACGACCTAGCCTCGCACCACTGCCAGGACCACTCGGACGAGGAGACACCAACCTCGGATGAGTTGGAACAGTTCGCCAAACAGTTCAAACAAAGAAGAATCAAGTTGGGCTTCACGCAGGCCGACGTGGGGCTGGCGCTGGGCACACTGTACGGCAATGTGTTCTCGCAGACAACCATCTGCAGGTTCGAGGCCTTGCAACTGAGCTTCAAGAACATGTGCAAGCTGAAGCCGCTGCTGAACAAGTGGCTGGAGGAGGCTGATTCGTCCACGGGGAGCCCGACCAGCATTGACAAGATAGCCGCGCAGGGCCGCAAGCGCAAGAAGAGAACCTCCATTGAGGTGAGTGTCAAGGGCGTACTGGAGACGCATTTCCTCAAGTGTCCCAAGCCTGCCGCGCAGGAGATTTCCTCGCTGGCAGACAGCCTCCAGTTGGAGAAAGAAGTGGTGCGTGTCTGGTTCTGTAATCGAAGACAGAAAGAGAAAAGAATGACTCCACCAGGGGATCAGCAGCCACATGAGGTTTATTCGCACACCGTGAAAACAGACACGTCCTGCCACGATCTCTGACTGCAGGAAGCAAGCAATAGACCTGCCGCACTGGGAGCAGCGTGGATTTCTCTTTCTCACTCCCTTCCTTTCACTCCAGCTTTATTATGAATCAATCTCTCTCTCTCTCTCTCTCTCCTATAAATATGTCTGTCTGTCTATCTATCTATCTATCTATCTATCTATCTATCTATCTATCTATCTATCTATCTAA